AGATGCCTGATGCAGCAAGCCATTTTTATAAATCAAGATATCTGAAGTAGGCGACCAGCGGAACCGAATCTTTGCCTCGTGAAGCTTAGCTGTGACGTTTTTCAGGGATCTCCGTTTGATCAGGATCTCCGGGGCTAAGTCAAGTAGGACGATAATCTTCTGGTCCCCGAAAGCTAGGGAGCCTTTTTGTTTGGCTATCTTGAGGATTTTGTCTCTAGAACGTAGGTATATAAATTGTACCAGAATATCTCGTGGTTTGCCTTTGTTCGCCATTGCTAACGGACCCAAGCGCTGTGCCTTGGCCAGCGCCGGTGCAACGCCGTCGTCCAAACGCATTACTTTGGCTAGCCACGCAGCCATAAATTGAGCCAAGTCTTGGGATTCTTCCGACCCCTCCTCAAACCCCCGAAATTTTAGGTTATATTGCCGCCATTTGTTTTCAAGCGACGTAATCCTAGTAAGCATAGTTGCGTCAGACTTTTGTAAGGATCTAACGTCGTCTTGCATGGAAACCGCCAGTTGTGTAGCCGTTTCTGCTGCTTTTGAAGCTTCGGCTATTTCTTTCGCCATATCTTGCAAAGAGCTTTGAATGGGTTGAAGTAGTTTCGATACTATTGTGGACATAGAGTCAATAATATCATATTTCAGGGCGGCTAGGTCCTGACGAGAAAGGGGGTCGGTCGGGTCGTTAGGCTGCGTTTCAGCCGCCATTTTAGCAGAGGCTGGGGAGGCCGGGAGAAAAAGCTCTTCTGGAGCTATCGTTGTAAAAAATGTACGTACCGATTCTTTTCCTCCTCCCCGGCTTGCTAGAGGTGTTCCGGCAGCTTTATGTGTATTTTTCTTCGGCATGGAGACTTCGAAGAGGTATTTTAAGTAGGTAATAGGGAGATAGGGACGGGAGCTCGAGCTTCAGCCGTGCTCCATGCACCGTTGGCTCCGCCCCCCCCCTCATCTATTAAAATTTCTCTCAGCCCCACCTACTTCACAAGGTGCCTATTGTGGGAAGAGGAAGGGAAGGTGATTGTGACCCCCTTTGAGACTCCTTAGGGCACAGAAAAGCAGGGCGTAAAAGCCCACTCTTCTTCTTCTGAGAGAACTATGACTGACCCAAGGTCACCCAGCAGGCTTCATGTGGAGGAGGAGTGGGGAATCAAACCTGGTTCTCCAGAATTCATTGCCAGAGGATGTTGTGATGGCCACAGGAATAAACAGCTTTAAAAGGAGATTCGATAGATTAATGGATAAGTATCAGTGCCTCCTAGCCATGGCACCTGAGGGGGACCTCCACATTCAGAGGCACTAAACCTCTGGATCCCAGAGCCAGGAGACAACATCAGGAGAAGGCCTCTGCCTCTGTGCCCTGTGGTTGGCCCTCCAGAGGAACTGGTGGGCCACTGTGTGAGACAGGAGGCTGGACCAGATGGACCACTGGTGTGATCCAGCAGGGCTCTTCTAATGTTCTTATGAAGGCCTCGGCCTCTATTCCCTGTTGTTGGCACTCCAGAGGAACTGGTTGGCCACCGTGTGAGACAGGATGCTGGACTAGAGGGACCACTGGTCTGATCCAGCAGGGCTCTTCTGATGTTCTTATGAAGGCCTCGGCCTCATTGCCTTGTGGTTGGCCCTCCAGAGGAACTAGTGGGCCACTGTGGGAGACAGGATGCTGGACTCGATGGACCATTCGTCTGATCCAGCAGGGTTCTTCTGATGTTCTTAGAGTCCACCACTCTTAACCACTACCCCAAGCTGGTTTTCTAGAAAGGCTGGATTTTTTTGCTGTCAAGTCACAGCTGACTTGGGACAACCCTGTAGGGCTTCCAAAGCAAGAGACATTCAGAAGTGGTTGGCCATTGCCTGCCTCCATGCCACGACCCTGGACTTCCTTGGTGGTCTCCCATCCATATACTGACCCTGCTTCGCTTCTGAGATCTGGCTAGCCCAGGCTATCCAGGTCAGGGCAGAGCTATTCACAGATAAAAGCAGAACGCGACTGGACTAATCAAAAGGAAAGGCTGGTTTTAGACAGAGGCCCACAATGCAGAAAGAGCCAGTCATTTGCAGAGGAGAAAGGAAGAGAGCGCGCTGGGGAGATAAGGTCAGTGGAAGTGAAGATTTGGCTTCTTGAGAATCCAAGGCCACAAAAGACACTTAACATTCTTGAGAGCAAAAGGGAGGCTGCTTTGACCGCACAGTAGGCTTCAGCAGGCGGTGGACACTGGGATTCATAAACACCGAAAAGCTATGAGAGCCCTCCCCAGGAGGAAAGGGCAGATTTCCTGGTTGCAACCGGGCCAACAGATGGTGGGGAAAGAGCTGCATCGACGCTGCTGCCAGATGGATCACTGAGTCCATGTACACCGTTCTCTCCATCTCTGTGGTGTTGTTTTTTGTTCAGTTCAGAAGAAGAGATTGGATTTATACCCCGCCCTTCACTACCCAAAGGTGTCTCAGAGCGGTTTACAGATTCCTTTCCCTTCCCCTCCCCACAACAGACACCCTGTGAGGTAGGTGGGGCTGAGAGAGCTCTGACAGAAACTGGTCTTTTTCAAGAACAGCTCTTGTCAGAACTACGGCTTGCCCAAGGCCATCCAGCCAGGTGCAAGTGGAGGAGTGGGGAATCAAACCCAGTTCTCCCAGATTAGAGTCCGTGCACTTAACCACTACACCAAAAATGGGAACAGACTCCATTGGGAGTAACTGCCTGCCAAGTCATATGAGGAAACTCTCTTTTTGACTTCAGACAGCCCTTCATGTAAAAGCTTCTACTTGATGCTGGAGTCACCAGGCAAAGGGGTAGCATTTTGCTACACTTTTTTTTGGGGGGGGGGTGTATTCTCAGCAACAACACAGGGACACGGTGCATCTCCCTGCTCCCCGTAACTACCAGTCATGAAAATCGCTGTATCATTTGAGCCTGCTAAGAACTCAGAAGAATTGGGCCCACAGTCTCTCTTCTGGCATCGCTCAAGTGCCCAGTGCATTCTGGGACCTCTTTAGGAACCCAGGGGAAGAGAAGACTAGCTCTCCAATCTCTATTGGCAAACTGCCTGGTTACCATCCAATGCTCCCTCTAAGCTGTGGAGTCTTGTGAGCAAAAATTCTACTTTGTGAGCCACTGGCATTAAAGTTGTGAGCAAGCGATTTGGCTACTGCATAAATTAGTTTGCTCTTCTGGAGCCATCCTTCCTGAGCTAAGACAGAAATGTGTGAGCCAGAAGCTAAAAACTGTGAGCTAGCTCACACGAACTCAGCTTAGAAGGAACACTGTATACCATTCCCTGTCAGTTAAGAGGCAGCACCTGAACTGCAGAGGGAAATGAAGAGCCCACTCATGTAGGTTTACTCTTGAGAAAGTCCCATAGAGACTAGTGTGTACAGGATTATAGCCTGAGCGATTAATTCAGCATCTTTAATGTTATTGTTAAAAAGGATGGGGCAGAGAGAATATTAGCGTACTTGGGGGTGCACTTAATTAAGTTTTATGAAGACAAATGCAGATATTAGGTGCCACCTGCTACAGCGGAACACTTTCACCGAGGAAAGCGTCTATTGTGGGCTTTGTTTCAAAAACAACAAATGATTACTAGGATAGTTGTTTCTGAATGAGCCCTGGTGGAGTCCTTAATTAGGAAATACAGAGGCAAACACACGCCAAGGACTTCTCTTCCGGCAGACTTAAGGAGGAAATCCATCATCGGAAGCTCCCAAGGAAGCGATGGGGGGCTTTCCTTGCTGACTGTAACGGGCCTGGAAAAGCCACCTCCTTTCTATACCTGGCACGGCCTGAATTACAGAGGAGACACAGCCTTGCCTGAGCGGGTGCCTGGATCTGTGGAGGAGAGAGACGGCCATTTCATGGTAAAAGTGTTTCAGGTCCGCAGACGATGCTCCGGGTGGTCCTAAGCTTGCTGTCGAGACCAAACAGCCTAGATGGGGTGTCTTGAACTGGCCCTGTGCAAACACAGCCTTTCCTGTTGTTGCTTAGGAGGAAAGGGTGCACGTGGAGTTTTCTTTTTCGACGGGCAGTAACAGGGAAACTGCAAAAGGACCCTAGGATGCCTCAAAAGACTCACAAATACACTGCAATGTCAACTTTTGTGCATTTGTCAGCATGAACACGCATGAGGCTGCCTTGTACTGAATCTGAACATTGGTCCGTCGAGGTCAGCATTGCCTGCTCAGACTAGCAGTGGCTCTCCAGGGTCTCAGGCGGAGGTCTTTCACAACACCTGCTTACCTGGTCTTTTTAGATGGATGTGTCGGGGATTGACCCTGGGATTTCTTCTGTACAAAGGCTGAGGCTCTTCCACTGAGCCACAGCCCCTCCCCCACATGGTTCATGTCTTCTTTTGACAGCTGCACAAAAATCTGTGCTAAAATATAGGTAAAGGTTTCCCTTGCTCGAAAGCCAGTCAAATCCGACTCTAGGGATGCGGTGCTCATCTCCGTTTCCAAGCCGAAAAGCCAGCGCTGTCCGAAGACTTCTCCGTGGTCATGTGGCCGGCGTGACTAGATGCCAAGGCGCACGGAACGCTGTTACCTTCCCACCAAAGTGGCAGGAACTGGGACCAGAGATGGGAGCTCACTCTGTCACACGGCACTCGGGTCTCTCTCGAACTGCTGAACTACCGACCTTCCGGTCTGCAGTTCAACGTCTTAACCATTTGAGCCACCGCAGCCCTGTGCTAAAATATACGTCTTTGTTTTTAAGGTGCCACAAGACTTTTTGTGTGTTTTGGCTGCGTTAGATTAACATGGCAACTTCTCGCAGAAAAACTGCATGCAAAATGACGTCATAGTTTCTGGGCTATATCATGAAGCTAGAGATAGGATTTACTCTCCAAGTTCGCTGCAGGCTTGAAAAACAACTCAGACTTTTTCATTTTACTCAAGGAAGTTTTAATGAAATGCTTCTGCAACAAACATGCAAAATAAAAATACTTTAAAAAAAGAAAGAAAGAAGAGAGCATAGTATTAATTTGCTTCATTTCAACTCCTGGCTGTGCATGTATACAATACTTAACATAGGCTTTCCTCTCGAAAATACCGAAATGGAAAACAAGTCTTTGTGAAACGACACACAATATGTGCACAATATGTGAATGTCACATTGGAGCTCATGTCACAACAGGAAGCTGTGTGTCATATTCAGTGGAAATAAAAAACGCAACACTTCATCATATATCTTACTTTACAAGACAGGCTTCCTGCTCTATAAAACTAACGAGCAGAGGGCACTGCCAAAAAACTATTTCGACATGATAATCCTTTGAATACAAGCTGCCTCTTTGTTTCTCTGTTCTTAGAAATAATTCATGTACCTCATTTTCAGAGAGAAAACCCCCCCTATTAACACTTCTTCAAAAGTAGCAAAATACAGAATTGACAGATTGATTCCTTCAGGTGTAATAAAAATAGGTTTTAAAATATATGTGGCTCAATACAAAATATTGCTGTGTGTAAAGAGGAACATGATTGCATAACGGCTGGGGGGGCATTTTACAAAAATACAAAACCGGCTGTATTTCCAGAATGCATTATTATGCTTTAGTGCAAACAAAAGGACATCTGGAATTAAAATAGAGACATCTCAGGTATTGGCAGAGGTACGCAAAACGTGGAATCTCTTCAGGATCATGCGGATGGATCCCAGTTCTCGATTGAGCCTTTCCAAGCGGTCTTCCAAGGCTTCCTAAAGAGAAAAAGAAAACATAATCTTTGGTTTTGGGAAGACCAGGTCCTTCTAAAATGGTACGCCTGCATTGCACAAAGCACAAAGCCTTTTACCAGCTTTCTCCAAGATGGGTTTCTTCCATACATCACGTTGGGTTCAGCTGCAAGACTAAGACACGGACACATCCCTCAAAGGTGTAATAAAATGAGAGTTTCTACCTGATTTAACTTGGCTTGCAGAGTCGTCCTCCCTCCCGTACAAGGTATCCGGCTCAAATGGGCCTCAATCTAGTAGGAAATAGTAGTATCAGAATGAACTTGAGTGCGATAGTGCCTGTGAGAAACTGGGAACCATCTTCTAGCTAGGACAGTACCACCCTGTCTCATGTTAATATATCTGCCCCCCCTATCAAGAGATCCCTTTTTATTATCTATTGTAAGCCTTATTTCCCATTAAAGAGTTCTGGAGGAGATTCCACAGTGGGGCAGAGGGAGGAAAAATAGAAGAGAGATTTGGGGATAGCAGAATTCAAGTGACATCATATCACTTGTCTACCTGGCCAATAGCAACTGTGATGAGGTTTATCATGCTTCCTGCCTGTCTTGGGGGGGGGGGGGGGGGGGATTACCTGCCTGCAACTCCCACCCTTTTGTTCAATGGGATGTGTGACCTGCCCACAGAGATACAGTAGCTGCTAATCCACAAGAGAGGGCAGTCTAGCTTGGTTTCGCAGAGGCACTGGAGAAGTGGACATTCTGCCAACACCATGTCGCCTTAACGCCAAAGCTCTTGGCTCCTACCTGTTGCTTTTCAAGCGTGAGCGCGTCAAAGAGCTTCTCTGTCTCGGCCAATGTCTTGATCCTTGAAATGTATTTGAAATCCGCCTCGTGAACGGATGCCGCTGAAGGCGGGCTGGGCTCGCTTGCGTGTGCGGAGGCCTCTTCTCCCCACGTCGGCCCCATCGTGTCTCTCTCGCCTCCTACACACAAAGAATCGGGGCCAGGGGAATACTTTGCACGGCTCTCTTGGCCTGGGCTGTGGGACTGCCTTTCTAGACAGCGGCAAAACAAGAAAACACAGGATTTTAAGCTCTCAATGGAACAGTGAACAGTACAGGAAATATCTTGGTTATGAAATGCTCCTTTTGTAACACTGTCAGAAGCCTTTGACAAGTCTGAATCTAATGAGCTCTGGAACATTCTGCAAAGGAGTCCTTAGGGTGGCTTCCAGAATTTCAAATATTTCCTGGTATCAGCCCAGCAACAAAGTTCCTTTGTTGCCTTGGTTCAGATGTCAACCAAGCCTGGTAGCATCCTTCCTCCGCTCTTATTCAACATGCTAATTAACACTTCACAGATCTGTGTGCCATCCTAGAGCACGGGCAGGGCCGGCTCACCCACTAGGCGAACTAGGCATTCGCCTAGAGCGCCGGGCCCTGGATGGGGCGCCAAGCTGTGCCTCCCCCCCTCTGGTGGTGGCGGGGGGGGGGAGGCGGTGGGGGTGGCGGCAGCAAAAGGGTGGCTGGCTCCAGAGGTCTCCAGGCCCCACCGGGAGGTTGGCATCTGTGCCATAAGGCAGCCTCGCCTAGGGCGCAGAACACCTTGAGCCGGCCCTGAGCATGGGCCATGGCCACTGCCTCTGTACTGTTCCAATTTTAGTATATTTGCTGCTGAAGCTTGCTTCCGGTACAGAGACGATTACCATGGGCCACACGAGTTGACTACAGCCTGGTTTCCAACAAGCCACAGTTTGCCCTTCCATCCAAACTGGCAGAACGTTGCAACTGGCTCTTGCAAACCAGGATTGCAAATGGGACAAACTGTACTTTGCTATTAAAGACTGCAAGGCATGCACAAACCATGGTTTGCTGAATACTGGGGAAGCAGCTAATTAGCTCACTACAAACGAGGGAAGGGGAGGGAAGCTCATGCAAGACAAGCCAGAAGCTTCTTCCAGATTTATTCACACAGTGGCAAGCCACGGTTTTTCACTGTATCTAAACCACACCACAATGCAGATCAATCAACAGGCTTGAAGAAAGGTTCTGAAATGCCTTCTTGGGCAAACTTCCTTGCTGGGACTGCTGTTTGGTTCCATCCCACAGGCAAGTTATAATATGCCAAACAGAGCAACTAGAAAAACAACTGTTTACATTTTTAAAAAATTAATGTGTATGTACATTCTACGGGAGGGGAAGATGGCACGGTATAGCCTCATCTCATCAGATCTCAGAAGCTAAGCAGCGTCAGCACTTGTAAGGGAGACCACCAAAGAAGACTCTGCAGATAGAGCAGGTAGAGAAAGAAGTACTTTTCTCCCTTTATCACAAACAAGAACTTGTAGGCACTCAATGAAATGAATGAGCAGGGAGGTTAGAACAAATAAAAGTACTTCTTCACCCAAAGAGTAATTAACACGTAGAATTCACTGCCCCAGGAAGTGGTGGCATCTACAAGCACAGACAGTTTCAAGAGGGGATAAACATACAGAGAAGAGGTCCATGGGCGGCTATTAGCCACAAGGTATAGATGGAACACTCTGTCTGGGGCAGTGATGCTCTATACTCGTGATGCTTGGTGGGCAACAGTGGGAGGGCTTCTGGCGCTGCTGGTGGACCTCCTGATGGCACCGGAGCTTGGGCCACTGTGTGACACAGAGTGCTGGACTGGATGGGCTTCTCTTACATTTTTATGCAGAGGAAGGCAATGACAAACCATCCCTGTTAATCTCCTACCTTGAAAGCCCCTTGCTGGGATTGCCATAAATCGGCTACAACTCGACGGCACTTAGGTATATACATATGCACGTTCTAACATTCAAAAACCTCAATTTGTCCTTTACCTGCAGTTAAGTCCTTTGTACAATAATAGAACATCTCTATTTTGTACATTTTATGATACAAAATGGTTAAAAAAAATCAAGACAAGCAGCTCCAAATCCCCTCATTACTTCATGCTAAGCGACATTAATGTTGTAATTTTCATAGGTTACATCAGACCTTCACCATTCAAGGGGATTCATTCATGGGATCACTGCAAATAGCAAAATGCACAAACACCAAGGGAGGGGGAGGTCTGCTACGTCCCAGTAGCAACCCCTCCCCCAAATTTCCTGCAAATTGTTATAATGATTATAATCTATGGAGTAAAAACAGGCTGAAGACTGTATCACATGGCAGGACAGTGGACTACAGATACGTGATATAACAAGTCATGAATTGGCAAACTGCAAGGGCATACTGTGTAACAAAATAGTATAATGACAATTTACAGCAAGTAATGGTTATCCAGAAAGATGAACTGGCATAATATTAAAACACGTTACTTGCTGATCTCTGTTCTGATGCTTGGAGAATTAAAGTGGTTGTTCATAGGGAAAAACTGTATCCATACACATTTTTAGCATGGGATGTATTAAATGCATCACTCACGTGTATGGCCTTCCTTCTAGGAACAGAGGACAGTGCACACAGGGCCGATCCCATTTTGGCCCGAGAGCAAACATGAGTGGGTGGTGTAGGATGGGAGTTTGAGACTGGTTTAAAGTTATCAGACAAACATCATGGCTAAGCAGGACTTGAACCCAGGGTGGAGATCCCTACTATTTACATATTGTCATCAAAATGCATTTAATTTCATAGAGCAGAAGTACTCTGGCCCTGAGGCGCTTACAGTCTCTAATCTGTGCATTGCCATGTTGTATACCATGAGTTTGCCATCTCCCACGTGGCAGAATTTCATACTGGCTTATGCCAACTGTAGTCAGAAACCAATTTGTCTAGTATTCAGTTGTATAACTCCACAGCATATTTGATTCCACTCATGCTAAGAGCAAGCACCCAACGGTTTCAGTATTTCAGGACAGTATCCACTGATTACAGTGCAAAGAATTCAGATGTGGGGAGGGGAGGATTTCAGAAATAACGCAGAGGCACGAATGGCTTTTTGGAGCTCCATGAAATGTGCACATTAGTTGAGTTTATTTGATTTTTAACCTTCCCTCCCCTGCGAGCACCCTCACCTGAAGAAGTGTGCAGGCACCCAGAAGCTTATATGCAGAATTAAACTGCGCTGGTCTTAAAAAAGGGCCCCTGGACTCAAACTTTGCTCTATTACCCTCATTCTTCTTGATGCAAAGCGTTCTGAAGTGGCAAGCTGACAATCATTTTTATTTATTTACTTATTTTACAAAACAAAAACAAAAACCCACCTACGGTGAAAATTTACCTTCTGTGTCACCTACAGAAAGAAACTGGAGCTTTTTTCTTGGGGTGCTGTACTGTGATGTAGGCCTTGGAGCCTTTTCCAGCTCGTCAAGGAGGACGTCAAACCTGGAGGGTGGGGGGAGGAGCGTTATTGTCAAGAGCTTTTCCTTCTCCAGTCTTGGAACAGATTAAACTTTTTGCCGGCACAGGAAACTGCTAGGTGGAAGGACTCTACTGTAATTTCTCTACTGGATTTAACAACACACTCGATACACAATTTAAACTCCTCTACGTCACCTTACAAAATATCCATGCTCAGGTAAGAAAGACTGGGTGCGTTCAGACGGGGGCTTTACAACGGAATCTGTGCCGGTTGCAATCGTTGTACTTACCGGCGTTCAGACGGCGAACATCTGTCTTCCCTCCCTAACCGTTGTAAAGCCCTTTAAACCGTTGCACTCTGCCACTAGGTCCCCAAGTGGTGGTATCCTGAGTGCAACGGTTGCATTCGCTTAACCCCGCTGTCTGATTGCTCTCCACCGGTGTCGAGCCACTTCCGTTCGGAAGCCTGAGGCTTACGATTTCCCCCCGCCATTTTTTTTAACTAAGCGATGTGCACTTGGGCGAAGCTTTGCCCTGAGCGTTTTGTTTTTTTTTAAAGCCCTTAGTGTAGCGTTTTGGAGGAGTCCGGGACTTCAGGGAGGCCAGTTTGGTCTTTAAACTTTAAAGGTAAGTCCTTACCTTTAAAGTTTAAATGTAATATGGGGTGTTTTGAGCATGCGCAAAAATCGCCATTCTGTGAATGGCTGCCTATGCGCATGCTCAAACTGAGTAAAAAAAAAAAAAAGCCGACGCCCGCAGCGTGTGAGCGGGCATACAGCGATGGGATCCACAAAATGGAGGTGAGTGTGATCGCGTTTCAGCCGGCATAAACTGCACCGGTTCCAACCGGTACAGTTTATGCGCGCTGAAACGCCGCGTCTGAACGCACCCACTGACTGGCATAACCCACTGAACGCACGTCAGGACTGTGATTATTGTATAGACTGAGCTGATCCTGAGCAGGGTGCAGAGACTACGCAAGCGCCCTCCCCCAAAGCAACAGGCTGCCCTCAGTCTCTCCCAAAACGGGCAAGTGGCCTAGTTCTGCTGCCGCTTCCACGATTCCCTGCATCCCAGTTTGCTTTGGCTGTTTGAAGGGCCCCCAACCCCTGAGTATCGGACAGGACCGTTACCTTGTCACGGTGTTCTCGTTTTTGCTGAGTAAGTGACTGAATCCTGGAGACAGGTTCTCTTTTGGAGATCGTTTAGGGCTGCACATCACAGCAACTGGAGCCAGCATTATCTCTCTCCTTGCTGATGACAAAAATGGCTGGTTAAACTACAATTTTACCATGTGCCCTTCAACCTTTCCTGGGTTAAATGCATTTTGTCACAGGGATGTTGCTTAGAGATGAGTAAGAGGAAGCCCGTGGTCCAAATGCAGCCCCCAGAGTAGTAAGAGCTCCCCCCCCCCCACAACTTGCAAGAGTCAGCATTCGGAGGAAGTGGCAGCTGCAGAAACGGACTTCTTGGCAGTCCTCTTTGGGGACAAGGGTCTCCCTATCTCACCCCCCCCCGAAACAGCCCTCCAATAGCACTTTCTGGGTAGGCCACTGCCGTAGGGGGGCCATCCATCAACATGGCAAGCCTGTGGGCTCTCTCCCTCTCTCCCACAACCGCCATCACAAACAAACAGCCTGCCAGTAAACAGGATATCCTGCCATTCTTACTTGGCGTGTTTGGAGTGTTTGATTTCCTATTGGAAGGGGGCAGAGAGGAAGACCTCTGGCCGCAAGGCGAGCTGTATCTTTTGTGCCTGTGCTGGTCTTTGCCCTTCTCCGGGGACCGCGTGGCACCGAGCGTGGCTTCGTCAAATCCAATGGTCAGACGTCGGCTAGTTGATTCTGCAACAAGCAGTAGCAGAAGAACGTGGATGTACGTGTGAGCCACTGGTGGCTCCCAGAGAAAGCTCCAGCCCAAGGTCGCAGCCTGTTCCTTCTTCAACATGCAGATTGTCTCACATGGGCAAGTACTCATGAATGGCCAAGAACTGAAAAGCAGACCCACGGGGGGAGGGGGGGTGTCTTGCCTGAGATGACGAGGCTCTGGCCACCAGCCCCCCCCTCCCCGGGGATTTTGCACCCAGAGGTTTGTGTCCGAGTGGCCTGGAGAGTCGCTGTCTGCTTCCTGGGGATGCTGCTGCTTTCTCTTCCTTCATCAGGGCCTTTCAAGAGCCCTGGTAAACGTGAGGCATTGCACCCTTTCAGTCACCTTCTTAACTTGGTCTGCCCTGTTCCTTCCGGCAGAAACTAAGTCCGGTGGCTTCACTATCCTATTTCAAAGCTTCTCTCCCTGTTTCTTACCCTCACTCATAATGAAGAAAACACAAAGTTTAATTAAAAAAAAAAAAAACCCTGAAAAAATACAAAAGGAAGGATTGCAAGTCAGGGAAAGGCCATCAGATATTTATGGGCAGCACTCCAAAGCCGGTCCTTGGACAGCGAGGAATTTTTATCTGTTTTGCAGCTGCGAGGATCGTTCCCAGCCTAACACACTTTGTTAACGTTCAGGCAGTTTGTACTGATTTTTATAGCCTGTACATTGAAGTGGAGCCGTTTGTGTGGAGAAAACAAGCCTCACAAAGACGTCACAGGTCTGATTTGCTCTGCGGAGGATGTCTTCTCCAGTCTAAGATCTGTGATCAGCTCTCCCAAGATTTTCTTTAAAAATCAGAAAACAGCCTGTGTTGGGAGATGGACATGAATCGGGGCTAGGGCACTGAAGGGGGAGGCCAGTGGGAGGCATTAGTGGGCACCAGAGATAGTGGTGTCCGGTGTTGATTTTAAAATTTTAATTTGTTATCAACTTTATTTATTTGTACTGTTATTTCGACTGTTGTGACACACCCTGAGCTCGCTTGCGAGGAGGGTGGGAATTCTTTCCCCCATAGAAATTAACCCCCTAAACAGCTACTAGGCTTGGGGGAGGGGGCAAAAATACAGCCACTTCTCCTATGGACATTACTCTGTGTTTGTGTGTGTGCATGCAAACCACTTCTCCTGGAGATGCCTATGCAGAGTAGAAGAAGAAGAGGAGGAGAATTGGATTTATACCCCGCCATTCACTACCCAAGGGAGTCTCAGAGCGGCTTACAGACTCCTTTCCCTCCCCCTTCCCCAACAGACACCCTGGGAGGTAGGCGGCGCTGAGAGAGCTCTTAGAGAAACTGCTCGTGAGAGAACAGCTCTGAAATGACTTGTAACTGACCCAAGGTCACACCAGCAGCTGCATGTGGAGGGGTGGGGAATCAAACCCAGTTCTCCCAGATTAGAATCCACGCACTTAACCACTACACCAAACTGGTTAAAGCACCACCCATCCAGATATTCCTCCCCCCACGGCTGCTTTTTGGCCTTAAAGAAAACAAGATCAGCCAATTCAGCTGTGGATCTCTGACGTGACCAGTAGTTTGTTCCCAGTTCTAATGGGCAGGAGGAAAGAGACATCAGCAAGACCGACGGGCTCGGCTCAGGAAGACCAGAGAAATCCATGGCGACTTACTGGTGGGAGCTGCCCCCTCTTTCTCTGTCTGAGTGCCCCAACTTTTCAGCGCCTTCCTCTCTTCAAGCTCTTTAACAGCTTTTAAGATCGGTGCTTCCAGCACTTCCCTTTCTTTCTTTTCCATTTCGTTTGTAAGCGAGGGGTCTCGAGAAGAGTCCTTTTCTGGAGGAGAATGGTGCCTTAAACAAACAAAATGCTTGAGGGATTATACACATTCAGTATGCCCATAATCACCTTAAGGAAAGACAAAAGAGTTGCACCCAAGGAGAAATTCCCAAAGGGTAGCTGTATTAGGTACATCACAGCCGAAACAAAGCCAGTGGCAGCCACAACAAATTGGCAAGACGCCACAAGACAGCATTGTCATGGAGAATTGCATTTGAAGTAGATTAAACATAAGCGACGGAGGGCCAAGGGAACCTCCTTCCAGATTTGAGCTCAGCCCACGGAAAAGACTATAGCGAGTGGGGTTATTCTGTGATCTTTGATAACAAGGTCCACCAGCAGCAGGGGCAGGACCGGTGAAAGGCCCTTGGTCCCTGCAACACAGGGAGTGGGGCAACAGTCCTTCCCCTTTGGGAAGGGGATGCATTCAACCCTGCTTACCTGTAAGCTGCATAAGCATCTTCTAGCCTGTTATCTTTGGGGCTCTCATCGGCCTCTAAAGGCTGGCCTGTGAAGATGGAATATTCTGAGCCAGGTATCAGCCATTTCCTTCTGCTGACATCAGAGCTTGCGTGTTTGCTAGTGGGACAGAAAACATGGGATTGGTGGAAGCCTCACACTCTGCTTCTGGAGTGTACTGGCTAGCATCAGACTTGTAATGAAATTAGTGACAACCACGTAAATCCCAAAACACAAACACCACCATAAAGCTGTTTAGGAAAGCAGACCCCCTCTGGCAAACATAAATAGAAAGCATAAAGGAAAACTTGACTTAAGAACATTAGAGAAGCTATGTTGGGTCAGGCCAATGGCCCATGCAGTCCACAACTTTGTGTCATGCAGTGGCCAAAACCCAGGTGCCAGCAGGAGGCCCACCAGTGGGGCCAGAACTCCAGAAGCCCTCTCCCAATGTTGTCCCCACAAGTACCATGAATACAGAGCATCACTGCCCCAGATATAAGAACAAAAGAGAAGCCATGCTGGATCAGGCCAGTGGCCCAACCAGTCCAGCACTCTGGGTCACCCAGTGGCCAAAACCCAGGTGCCAGCAGGAGGCCCACCAGTGGGGCCAGAACTCCAGAAGCCCTCTCCCAATGTTGTCCCCACAAGTACCATGAATACAGAGCATCACTGCCCCAGATATAAGAACAAAAGAGAAGCCATGCTGGATCAGGCCAGTGGCTCAACCAGTCCAGTACTCTGTGTCACCCAGTAGTCAAAACCCAGGCACCAGCAGGAAGTCCACCAGCGGGGTCAGAACTCCACCCCCCCCAAGCACCAAGAAGACAGAGCATCACTGCCCCAGACATAAGAACAAAAGAGAAGCCATGTCAGATCAGGCCAGTGGCCCAACCAGTCCAGCACTCTGTGTCACCCAGAGACCAAAACCCAGGCGCCAGCAGGAAGTCCACCAGTGGGGTCAGAACTCCACCCCCCCCAAGCACCAAGAAGACAGAGCATCACTGCCCCAGAGATGGACTGACTCCATCAAGGAAACCACGGCCCTCAGTTTGCAAGTCTTGAGAATGGCTGTTAACAATAGGATGTTTTAGAGGATATTAATTCATACGGTCGCCATAAGTCAGAAGTGACTCGATGGTGTTTCACACACACACACGCACACACACAAACACTGCTGAGATGTCCTGCCATCAAGTCACAGCATAGCTTAGGCATCTGGGGCAATTCACACACACCACCCAAGGCAGGCTTCACCCTACATAACGGCAGTCAACAAGAACTTTTATTCTTCTTCCAGAAGCACAGAGAGAGCGACTGTTTGTTTTCGAGCACTGCAGTTTCTCTTCTGCATACAACAGCACCGGTTAGCAGAGACACCTTTTAAAGTCACGCTGCCTTCAAGGGTTCATGCAGTCGCTTACCTGGCAGAAGGTGTTTTCGAGTGACTGTCTGCAAGATGCCGGAATTTTTGCAGGTTCTCATGTTCCACCTGCTTTATCTGAGCTTCCAGTTTCGAGACTGTTCTAAAGCAGAGAGAGAGAGAGACATGATGTTACAGAAACTATTTAAAATCTAACAACCCTGACAGGGTAGCTCAGTTCCCATTTGTTTCCTTAAAACCAGAGGTCACCACAGAGCAACATTCCTTGCAAGTAGGTGCAAAGTGTTCCATGTTCACACAATAGGCCCCAAATTAGCTACTTTGGAGCATTACATTTACAGACCCACAATGGTCACGGAGCCTCTAAAAATATAGAGAGCGAGCTTGTTATGGCACGTTCGAGTGATAAACGGCAAGAGCTTCTGATTTTCCTAGCTGCTCCTGCAAGAAGTGTGGTCTTGTGGGTGTCTTTTTTATCCTGAATCAGAAAGGTGGTAAAACTTTTCAAAATCTAGCAACCCAAACATACGCCTAAGTAGGCCTGCTAAGAACCTCTGTCTGGGATTCCTACAGAGAGGGCAGCAAAGGATGCTGCGAGTTCTGTTCTCAGCCCCCATATATAACAATATTGGTCTGGTGGTGGAAAGGGCCATCAATCCACAGCTGACTTATGGTGACCCTGTAGGGTTTTCCATGCAAGAGACAAACAGAAGTGGTTTGCGACTGCCTCCCTCCGCGTCATAACCCTGGTATTCCTTGTTGGTCTCCCATCCAAATACTAACCAGGACCGACCCTCTTTTGTTTCCAAAATTCAATGAGACTGGGCTGGCCTGGGGCATACAAGGTCAGGACAACATTGGTCTACTGGGATGTAATTTATCTGCCACAGAAATATGCTGATGGGATCATTCAGAAGTGTAATCACTGGAAGAAGGTTTCCTCGGAGGGCAGAAGTTTGACCCAACCACTTTGCCGGCCAGCTTTTAGTCCTCCATTAAGGGCTGACTCAGTGCCGGGCTGCTGTTAATGCCCGGCTCTCGCTTCATTGTCTTGCTATGTCACAGCTTCTTCCCCCACAGCACCAGGAAACTTAAGACCTCAGGGGAACTTTTATAAACCAAACCAGTTTATGCAAAGCAATTTGTCCATTCAGGATTCATGTTTCGACCCATCAGACAGCAGGAAACTTTACAGAACCCCTTGCCTCCCACACCCATGGCGATGGAAGTTATTAATCTTCACAGGTAACTTTGCAAGGCTGCATAAAATAGCAGTTTTATGCTCGCTGAAATCTCAAAGCACTCTCACGTGGCAATATTTTTCCTGCCTAGAAGAAGAAAAGATTGGATTTATACCCCGCCCTTCACTACCCAAAGGTGTCTCACTAAGACAAAGGTGTCTTACAAACTCCCCTCCCCACAACATAACACTCTGTGAGGTAGGTGGGGCTGAGAGAGCTCTGTCAGAAACTGCTCTTTTTCAAGAACAGCTCTTATCAGAACTACGGCTTGCCCAAGGCCATCCAGCCAGGTGCGAGTGGAGGAGTGGGGAATCAAACCCGGTTCTCCCAGATTAGAGTCCGTGCACTTAACCACTACACCAAACTGGCTTTCTAGAGTTAAATGGCACATTTACCTTTTCAAATCAGAGATCTGAACGTGTGCATCGAGCAGTTTATTCTCAGTTATATTTAACGTGTCCTGAGGAAGGGGGAAAAAAGGATGTCAAGTTCACAGTAAGCGTTAAATAGACACAGAACTGGGCTCTTGTACTCCTGAACAATTACAGGGAAGATCTTCCATTTAGCTGGATATTGATCCAATGTGACTATTACTTCAGTGGATGAGTTTTACTTCATCAATCGTTTCAGAGGGCAGTTGTGTCTATCTGCAATAGCAGAGCGAGATTCGAGTCCAGTACCGCCTTAGAGACCCACAAGAGATTTGGAGTATGAGATTCCGAGGGTTAAAGATCCTTTCAACAAGTGACCAATAATGAATCAAGGAGGATTTCTCTGTACTCAACTGGCTGGCAGTCTCAGCTTTTCTCTCCACCCTGCCACATGCAGCTCCGCTCACTGGCTTGAGGGTCTTTTGCTTGCAATACACTAGAATTCACATGATCTAGGCCAGCATGCAACAAAATTTCACTTTAAATGGCTAGATTAGTTACTTTTTAAAAATCAAAACTCCTGATCCAGTTAGAAGGTAATCCAGGCAGCAATGGTTTATTTTTGAGAAAGTAACAGATTGTACAAATCGTCCCCCAACTTCACATATCAGTTTCTGTTAACTGCACACTATGAAACTGCCAGTTTTAGAAGCACGGGGGGTTCTGACCCTCCGAGAGGTCCCTCTGTTTCTGGTCTGCCCCATTCTAATACCTCTCGATACCCTATTTTAGCGCCCAGTGTATTAGTCTGTCCTCTTACCTTAACTCTTTCATGTTCCTTCCCAAGGGACTCGTATTCCCCTAAAAGCTACAAAGAAAGGAAACCATTTTTTAGTTAATTTTGAAGTTATTTTTAACATTAATGACACAAAAATCCATTTATAGTAAAAATTTCAGCATGGACTGCGTGCGTGGAGACGTTTCACCCACCTCTCAAGCCCCACAGACAAAGCCTGCAAGAGGCTACCACAGTTCCAGCTTAAGAGACCCTATTGCCTGTCCTAGATACAAGTCTGTTCTGGAGACAGGCCTCTCACTGCAGAGCTCCCCAACCTTTCGGAGCCTGCAGGCACCGTGGGAATTCTGACGCAGGGTGGTGGACAGAATGGCTGCCCCTGGAGAGGGAACCGACCGCAGAGGGTCAGGGATTGAGGGTATGCATAACTCTCGTAGCAATTCTCCAGCATTTAAGGCAGAAACTCCGTTTAACAGGATGCCTTTTAATCTGCACGGCCAATCGGAAGCCCCGCTGGGCAGAAGCCTCGCCTGGCCCCACCCACTTTCTAAAAACACTTGGAGGGCGCCCAGCAGGGGTAATTTCCTGCTGGAGGGCCCCGGAACGGTGCTCCGGCAGAAAGGAGTCCAGGCCCCACCCACCCCGCCCGCGGAGACACTCAGGAAGGGGGGATTTAAATGCCTGGGTTCCCTGCCTGATTCACGAGACGGGGAGGGCACGGAGGCAGACATGCCTACCTTTCCCCCTGAGCCTCTCGGCTTTTGCAGAGAGACTCGGGGGGAGGGGGAGATTTAAACTCATTTAAAACATGCCTGCCCTTTGTCAGGGGGTGTGGCATATGCAAATGAGTTGTGCAAATGAGCTCCTGCACCTCTTTTTCTAGGAAAGGACCCCTGGCGCCAGGAGAAGCTTTGTCGGGCCCCACGGCACCCACAGGCACCACACTGGGGACTCCTCCTAAGTATCAACAGTCCTGGCTTTAAGGCCAACAATAATTAAACCATTCCCCCCACACCAGATTTCCACAATGACTGGATATACATCTGCATGAGAAAGGATACAGTGAAAAAGGGTACGACTTATAAGTGGACAGGATCAGGTGTTTGGACAAAATCCTCGCCCTCGCAGAATCAATGGCAAGCACTAAAATAGGCTGAAATGTTGCACTACTGATGGGACATGCAGGAATTACCAACTCCCCTTTCAAATTACAGCAGATTCTACAATGACAACCATTTCAAGGAGGGGCTGTGGCTCAGCGGAAGAACAAATGCTTGGCATGCAGAAGGTCCCAGGTTCAATCCCTGGCATCTCCAGTTAAAGGACAAGGCAGTAGGTGATGCGAAAGACCCTTTTTCTTAGACCCTGGAGATCTGCTGCTGGTCTGAGTAGACAATACTGACACTGATGGGACTGTCAGTCTGGTTCAGTATAAGGCAGCTTCGTATATGAACAAATGCAGAGCAAGTGTGGTGGCACCCCATTTGTGGAACACCCTTCCCAGAAATACTTGGTGGTCACCAATACTTTTAGGCACTGTTAACCCCTATAAAGAAAGGTTAAAGCGCTTGGGGCTCTTTAGCTTGGAGAAACGACGGCTGAGGGGTGACATGATCGAGGTTTACAAGATCATGCATGGGACAGAGCCGGCAGAGGAAGAAGTACTTTTCTCCCTTTCTCACAATACAAGGACTCATGGGCACTCCATGAAATTGCTGAGCAGTCAGGTTAGAACAGATAGAAGAAAGTCCTTCTTCACCCAAAGAGTAACTAGCTCATGGAATTCACTGCCCCAGGAGGTTGTGGTGGCCACAAGCATGGGCGGCTTCAAGAGGGAATTAGATAAGCATATTGAGCAGAGGTTCATCAGTAGCTATTAGTCACAAGGTATAGATAGGAACTCTCGGGCTGGGGCAAGTGATGCTCTGTGTTCTTGGTGCTTGGGGGGGACAACAGTGGGAGGGGCTTCTAGTGTCCTGGCCCCACTGCTGGACCTCCTGATGGCACCTGGTGTTTTTGGCCACTGTGTGACACAGAGTGTTGGACTGGATGGGCCACTGGCCTGATCCAACATTGGCTTCTCTGATGTGCTTATGTGCTTATAATACTTTATTTTCCCAGGCAATTTCTTGTTTGACATTTTCAATGTTTTCCGTCTGCTTTAGTGTGCTCCTGATGAATGAGAGGAGGTTGTTTCAATGTTTCTATTATGGATGGAGGTTTTTCCAAACAAAAACACTTCAATGAGAAAGAAGCCTAGAATTAGTTCAGGCAAGTATCGCCCAAGCTGAAATATGGAGGGGGAGCCAAGACAACACATCAGTCTAATTGATGGGGACAAAAGAAAACTGAGTAGGTGTCTCTCCCTGCTGAAAACCAACACTTAGCCATCTGGAGGTCAACAGAACAGAACAATCCTTTCCCCATAACGCCTCCAAGAGTCAATACTTCTCTTTCTTCAAAGATCACCTCCTACAAAGGTGCTCCTGTTTTAGCGCAGAAAACTCTATTGCAAGCGCACTGAAAGCTACACTAAGGGACCAGCCCAGGCCGCCAATGGCCATGAAAAGGCTCTACTGCCAAGCTTCTGGGAAGATCGTGCAGCAGCCAGATGTCAATGGCCTCCACTCTATGGTGCAAAAGAGCATTCTCTGCCAGACTCGTTCAGAACTCCAAACGGCATTCAGCAAGATCATGAGCTTTCTGACTTACGTTTTGAAACATTTTATTCTCTTCCCTGAGCCTGGCGTCTTTGTTATCCGACAGCTTGTAGGCTTTTTCGAAAGCTTCTTCCAGGTCCTTGAGCCTCCTCTTCAGACGGCTGATGGTGTTGTCCTTCTCTTTGCTGCTGGCGCGCGCCTCTTCAATCTGCTCTCGCAAGGCCTTGGTTGTGCTGCTGACGGCGGAGAAGCGCTCCCTCCAGTCTGCCTGAAACACAAGGAGGCCAAGGGTCGCACGAGCACGCACCGAACGGATGCTCACTTGGAGAGCGTGGCTGGGAGGCTGAATTTACAGGGAGCACCATCAGCAATGTGGTGCTTTCAAGGAAACCCAATTGCCCAAACAGTTCCCATGTTTATTCTTGCTTGGAAGATTAAGTATTAAAAAAAAGGGGGGGGGACAAGAACCAAACCACCTACAACTGGCCTTTTGGTGGGGAAAACCAGGGAGTGCTCAGAGAAATAAAGGGAGCCCTCTTGCAAATAGTATCTGCTCTTGATGCATGCCAAATCACAACTCCGCATATCGCCATCAACATACAGCTTCGATGGACGGATCAGACTTGCGCCTTCTCGCTAGAGAACCGTCCTCTGTACTGAACTGCTCGCTGTGCACCTACCACTTCCGTCTCCAAGGCGTTATTCTTATGTTCAAGGGCTCGCATGCGGTTATTGGCGTCATTCAATGTCACCTGTAAGTGGTCACATCTATATATAAAAAAAGAAGTCATAAAAAGCATTAACGGTGAAGTTGATCTTGGAATAATTTAAGTTATTTAATTTGCCCTACGGAGGCAACCAGACAGAGGCCACAATTGCAACAGAAGGTTATCAGGACAGCTTTAACAAAAATTCTTGGATGAACACAAACAGAGAAAAATAATCGAGCTGAGTAATTGGAACCCAGACTTAGATGCTGGTTTCCAAAGGTCCACTGGTTCTGTCCTTCAAGGAGTAGAAAAGAGCCAGAGTCCAGAAGCACCTTCAAGACTCACAACATTTGGTGGCAGGGGAGGAGCTTCCGTGAGTCATGGCTCACTTCTTCAGGTATCTGTATCTGAAGACGTGAACTCACGGAAGCTCCTCCCCTGCCACCAAATGTTGTGAGTCCTGAAGGTGCTCCTGGACTCTGGCTCTTTTCTACTCCTCCAAACAGACTAGCATGGCTACCAAACTGATCTATATCCTTGAAGGAGGTGAGGGAGGAATGGATGTCTCAGGACAGCACAACAAACATAGAACTTCTAAAGCTCCCAGATCTAAGGCAAAGCTGAAAATACATATAAGATACGGCGCTTTTTGTGTGCGCATGCATATGTAAAAAACTCTGCTCTTTGAAGAAAAAAAACAGCCCCGCCTATGAATTTTAAATGGCACGCCCCCCCCCCAAAAAACTGGCATTTCACCATTTCCCCAGCAAGTGTCTGCGACATTTTCATGTAGCCATCAATATGCATCCAGCTTCTTCAAAATTTGAAGCAAGTGATAAGGGTGGTTCCAATACAGCAAAAGAGAGATGGCATACTGCTCCGAACTCCTCCAGTATTACCTGTCAGCGAGATTTTGATTAATTTCCTTCAAGTCTTCAGAAGGAAGTTTATGGCTTGCCTCCAGCTGCTGCTTTAAGCTTTGAATTTCTGAGTCATAATAAGCTCGTAAATCAGCAACGTGGCGGGCATGTTTTTTCCTCAAATTCTGCTTGATCCTGTTTTGGAAATTAAAAACACGTCATACTATCTGAGCACTCTGATGGATGGCCAGAGTTGTGAGGCGGAACACAACCAAACCGGCATCTGTTTCTACACCGACAGTGAGGGACCTCTATTAAAATCTGCCTACTGACCTGGAGGTTCAAGGTTGTTCCCATGGCATTTTATGTACAAGGGGGTCAGGATCCAGAGAACTGCATTAAAAAGTTCTGCATGCCCAACTGGGCGTGTGGGCTGGGACTTCTTGAACAGCAGCTCCCCCATGCAGTACGGCAAATCTCTACTGAAACTGAAAACTGAGGCTGCCTCATAATGCATCAGACAGTTGATCCCATCAGGATCAGTATTGTCTACTCAGACTGGCAGCGCCTCTCCAGGGACTCAGGCAGAGGTCTTTCCCATCACCTACAGCCTGGTCCTTTCTAACTGGAGATGCTGGGGATTGAACCTGGGACCTTCTGCATGCCAAGCAGATAAAATCATAGTATCATCAAATGACAGAATTGGGACCTCGGGGGTCATCTAGTCCAACCCCCTGCACAAGGCAGGAAATTCACAAATACCTCCCCCTACACACCCCCAGTGACTGCTGTTCCTTGCCCAGACGATGGGCATGGAGAAAAACTGCTTCCTGACCCCAAAGTGGCGATCAGCATTTCCCTGGATGAGTAAGAAGGGGTCACAAGAACTAAGCACGGATGCAACCCGTCCTGCCCTCCCTCTCATGATCTGCCCAAGTTCACAACTGAACTGATGTTCTACCACTGAGCCACACCTAAACCCATGTGAAGCGGCCTTCTACTGAATCAGACCCTTGGTCCATCAAGGTCAGTATTGTCTGCTCAGACTGGCAGCATCTCTCCAGGGTCTTAGGCGGAGGTCTTTCCTATCACCTGCTGCCTGGTCCTTTTAAATGGAGATCTTTTAATGGCAGTTTATGTGTTGGTATCTGAGCATGGTGTGGAGGGTTTCTGTTCAAGAAAGTCTAAACCCACAGCAAATATTCAAGCTTTTGGATGCTCCAATGCAGTTCTCTGAAGCAGGCACCTTGAATATGATCCCAGTATAAACCACCGACGATATAGAGCAAAAGGGATTTCTACAGTTCCTCTTACTTGTCTGGGTATCTTCATGTGAAAATGTCTGCTCACAAGTCAAGCACTTATTTCTTTCCTTTGTATTGTTACATTCAGGAAATATAAGACATCAACAGTACAAGAGACATTCGAAAGAGCTCTAATTAGGGTCTTCTGTATATACCCAGAAACAGCAAACAGACCAAGACTGAAAGTCACAACAGCAAGAACAGGATGTGCTTCCTATTGTACAACATTGGTGCACTCTTCTCCAGGCAGCAAAAATTTAAACAGATTTAAACATTTCCCTCTTTGGAGTATCAAGCTGTTATAGGACATTGTGTCAGTTAAAGGGGATTCAACCGAGCCTTCCTTGGATTCAAGGGCTCGGAAGAGCAATATACTATACACACATTCATGCAGTGAGATCCAACCCCAAAGGCATCCCTGGGAAAGTTGACATTTTACATGGAATCCTGTGAGAAGAGTGGGGGGAAGCAACCAGGAGGCAGCAAATACCAAACAATGCAGCGGCCAGTGGGGGAAAAGGTGAAACACTTTTCCCTCCTGCACTCAGCATCATAGTCCCCCTGAGGTGTTTTTTCCCTTGAAAATTACGCTGGGACTTTGTTACAAATAGTTAGAAGAGTTTGGCCCTCATGGTGCTAAGCATTCTTTTGACTTGCCTGATCATCAAACGAGAGAGGAAAGACTATGGCTAATTCTGGTGGCCAAATTAGACACGGCGGCAGCAGATTCCTTTGCTGAAATCCGGGCCGATGGCCTGGGGATGCTGATCCCCTGGCAGGATTTTGCAGCCCCCCAACAAAACATCCCACACAATCCATGCATGGCTGAGGCAGACCTCGGTTGAACTAAAGAGTCTGCATGCCAGGGGTCCTCGACTTGGTGCCCACCAAGTGTTTTTGGAAAGTGGGCAGGAGCAGGGGCGGGCTTGTGCCCAGTAGGGCTTCTGATTGGCCATGCTAATTAAAAGGCGTCCCATTAAACAGAGCTTCTACCTTGAATGCTGAAGAGTTACGGTGGGAGTTACGCTTAACTTCGCTTCCTGACATTTTGTGGTTGGCTCCGTCCCCCTGTGGCGGTCTTTTTGTTGTTGCGCCCGCCACCTGTGCTGGGATTCCAAGTCTGCCCACAAACTCAAAAAGGTTGGGGACCCCTGGTCTGCACCCATCCTGTCTAGATGGTGGGACCTCACACTGGTATCTGCCACTGTGGCCTCAGAACCAGGCTAGGTCTAAATTATTTTCATGTTGTTAAATGGAGATAAGGTAGCCTTGAAAATATCTCTCCCAAACTTACTGGCCCACAGGGGCGTAGCCAGAAAATTCTGGGTGGTGGGGCTTCGGGAAATCTGGGGAGGGTGGGAGAGAGAGGGGGGCAGGGGGACAGAGAAGACCTCCACCCATGCCTGACTGTCAGAGAGATGTGGGCTCGCTGGGTTTTCTTCCTGCTTCTGCAGCCGAAGAAGACCTGCCCCGGTGTCTCTCTGATGATTACGGCCAGTGCCTCTCCTCCCTCCCTGTCTCCGGGCTGCCAGCTGCCCTTTGGATGGGGCGCTCGGCCCTGTGGGCAGCCATTCGTGGAATGGAGGATGGGCAAGATGGCAGGGCTTGTGAGGCGCTGGAGCGACTGGTGACCATGAAAGCACAATGGGGCACAGCTAACGGGTGAGGGGGGGTGGCCCCGAAATGCCCCACTGTAGCTATGTGCCGTCTGGCCCACAAACATCTGGCAAAAATGTGGGCCCTCTGCCCAGATTTATTTTTGGCTAGTTATTTGTGGCCTAAACAAAGGGGAAAACCCTAATTAACTCACATTAAAGCTTTGCTGTCTGGTCATTCGGATGCAATTCATATTCCTTAAAGCCAGAAAGAGTTGTTTACGAGGTCATAATAATTGTCTTCATAAATTACTCAGCCAACAGCCTTCAAGAAAGGACAGAAAACTGGCCTTTTAAAGTCGCACTATTTAATAAAGCAATCCTTATTTGAAAAGCTATGGATGATGGTCTTACTTGGACAGCATCAGAGGGTCTTCCGAATGTGCCACGGGAGCTCTATAACCTGCCAAACTATTGTCACCAAACGGAATCTGGAACTGGGCAACTGAAGATGGAGTTAGAGTTAAATTGCCTTCATCTTCTGTGTTTGAGATCTCATGACTTGGGTGAGAAAACGCCGCTGGATAAGAACTGCTGGTGTCCTCAGCTTCAGTCTGGAATGCAGAACTGTTCCAGGGATCCACTTGCAAAGCAGCGGTATTAGAAGCGTATGTTGGAGAACCGGCGAACTGAGGTGATGTGACAGTACTTGTGTGCGAAAACGAATCTGTGTCAGAATGCATGAAAAAAGCAGGATCTGCCATAGAGTCTGGAGAAAAAGGAACCTTCTCGGGGGTCATGTAAAAGCCATGGGAGGGAAGTTCAGGATTCTGGTGGCCTGGTTTCATGTGCAACGTCGGGTCTAGTGTCAGGATCTGCAAAACAAATATTGTTGACTGGAACCGAAATTAACACCCAGTTATTTACAGAATAATTTTTTATTCTAGTATCAGAAGAAATCATCAGGAGGAAGGACACAGCTATAACTTCTAACAGGAGCAGAGGCAGATCCAGGCTGGTTATGTAAGCTTACGAGTTTCTGGGCTACTGTTCTGGGGGGGAAAGCCATTTGTCTTTCTACCAAGCAAACAACGATGACGTGTAAAGCAGTTGATGGCAGCAGTGAGGATGGAATTCAAAAGATACACAAAATAAACATTGTTTGCCTCATGTTCTGGATCTTATCAGGAAAACAGAGACTAGAGGACAATCAGATACCACCCTGACCAGTGCAGCATTCAACGTAATTTAGTTTGCTGTAAAGAGCTGCTGCTCAGAGTACGTCAAGGGAGGAACTAACTCTGGGAATCTGGAACCGGACTACCAGTCCAAGGTACGATGAAGCACTGAGGGCTTCCGAGCACCAATCCTTACCTCAGGAGGGTGGGTAGATTGAGAGGGGGAAAAGTTCCAGTCTACAAACTGCTGGTTTTCCCTTTGTTTCTTGTGATATATTTCCTTTAAGGAGCGTGGCTTCACTTCATCACCAGAAGAGGACTTAAAACAAAAACGAACAACAATCAAAATAGCATTACGTACAACAGAAGCTCAATATCACAGCAAAGATGCCAGTCGGCTCCCATTATTCGGGGGGGGGGGGGAGGACTGCTATGCCTCTAATCCAAACCTGTGTATTTAAAAGGGCGTCAACAACCATGACACCTCTGGATACATAAGGAGGTGCTTGTGCAGAGCTGCTCCTGCCACTGAAGTGTACAGAAAAGTCTGTGCACAATGAAGATCCACAAAGCCATATCTTGGGGGGGGGGGGGAGAGAGACTAGGGGGCCTGGCTGCCTCAGAAATATCCCAGGCCCTTTCCCCAGAATATTCAACTTAAATAGAAGAAGATAGTATAAATCCTGTACCTCCATCATTTATGGAGATATAACGAACAACATGCAGGCGGTATTCAACACTGATGCTTAACAGGAAACTTATTCTTGCCTTGTTCTGGCCAGTTTTTAATCTCAAAGGCACCTTTTCAATCTCACGTCCCGGCTAAAATTGGCTCCCATGGAAGCCGTCTTCTACCAAGCCCGGTCATCAGTTTATCCAGGTCAGTCTTGTCTACTCAGACTGGCAGCAGCTCTCTAGGGTCTCAGGCTGAGGTCTTTCGCATCACCTCCTACCTGATCCTTTTAACTGGAGATGCTGGGGGTTGAACCTGAGACCTTCTGTATGCAAAGCAGATGATCTGCCATCAAGCCACAGCTCCATGCACACAAACCCCCGTAGTTTACAGCAATCACAAGCAATGCTCCCTCTAAGCTGTGGAGTCTTGTGAGCAAAAATTCAACTTTGTGAGCTACTGGCATTAAAGTTGTGAGCGAGCGATTTGACTACTGCATAAATTAGTTTGCTCTGGAGTCATCCTTGCTGAGCTGACACAAAAATATGTGAGCTGGAGGCTAAAAGACTGTGAGCTAGCTCACACTGACTCCGCTTTAGAGGGAACACTGATCACAAGTACATACAGATACAATGTGACATTCTCCACTGTTCCCTGGAAAATTGAATTCTCCACTGAAAATTGAATATAGGCACAGTTCAGGGGGTGGCTGGTTTCTTGATGCCCTCTTTCTTATGGTCTCACTGGTGGTACTCAACAGGGACATAGGTGCTTTAAGAGTTTCATCACATGCAAATTGTATTACAATTGGTAGGGGCCATGGCTCAGTGGTAGAGCTTTTGCTTGGCATGCAGAAGGTCCCAGGTTTAATTCCTGGCATCTCCAGTTAGAAAGGACCAGGTAGTCAGTAATGTGAAAGACCTCTGTCTGAGACCCTGGAGAGGCCCTGCCAGTCTGAGTAGACAGTACTGACTTCGATGGATTCAGTATGGCAGCTTCATGTGTTCAAACTGTCATAAAGTTACCTTTATTTAGGTTAATGTGCTTAACACTCTCTGCTGTTTCATATGGACTTATGACAACAACCCCCTTCCAGAGCTCATATCTTCAGCACCCTCCCCCAATTCTCACATTGTGTGTCAATCAGAGCACTTGATTGCGTCAAGAATCCCTTGGCAGGGCTGACTCTATACAGCCTGATTAGCAGTAACTTTCCCTCATTCCTTCTGAAAGTGTTATAAAAAGTAAATGCCAAGTGACAGCTTCCACCAGATGTTCCCATCAAATTCTGCTGAAAAGTCACCCTGGAGAGTGGAGCTCTGCCACACAGGTGTTTGTGCCGCTTCCCCTTGAAAGCCAGGGAAGACAGGCAGAAATCACTCTCAAGCACACGGCAGAAGAGAGCTAAATGGTTCTTCAATTTTACCACTGTCGTTCCTGCTGACAGCCTATGAAGTCATTAGCACACAGTGCGCAAAAAACTACAGAATGGAACATGGGACTGTACTGCCATCCAAGGCGAAACGGGACTGGCAGAATTAGACTGACAGAAATACAACACTCCAGGGGAAGATGGAGTCTCCAAAACACAACTGCTCTACTTTTAAAAAAAAGAGTAAAGTCATAATTTTCTCTTTGCCTTGTCTTTTCAGGCACTGAAGCTTGTCTGACTAGCTAGGTAAACATAATAATATTGTAAATCACAGAAGTGATAGAGGGATTCAGCACTCTCTGTGTCTCTCTCTCTCTGATTTATTATCTGAAGCTAGAATGCAATTATTTGAAGGAATCTTTCCCCCTGTTTTTATATCACCGGCTTTAGTTTGCAGAAAGATGCAGCTAAGCTGTATAGAACCTGTCCAGAGAACATCCAGCCCTCCCATCAAGAGGAACAATTTGCAACAGCCAATGTTGAATCAAAGATTTGTCTACAGAACGGAGGCACAAGAGCTTTTGCAGGTAAAGATACTCAGCTGAAATGAACCGTGACACTCTCAGAAATATATGTCAAGACAGAAGGAGGTGATCTTGCATCTCAACTCTGGGCGACTCCCTGCCACTTTCATCAACTGCTTCTAGCATCTCATTTCTTTCTTCCTCCCTCTGCCCAGTCCTCTCTGTGCAAGCACAATTTATTTCAGCTCTGTGTTTTCATTCTTACACCTCTGGCTCTCACATCTGGAACAGCTTCCCTGCTCCACTGAAGTCACTTCCACAAACTCCTTTAAAGCCATAATTCTCATCTTAGACAAAGCCTGGTCTGATCTCTGCTGCCATTTCACCCAGTCTGGACCTGTCCCTTAACTCTTGTCCCAGCCAGCTTCTATTCCTCTAAGCAGAGACTGTCACTTCTTTCTATGTGATACCTAGCAATCGACAACACTAGATAAATGCCCAGCATGGGAAACAACAATAACGAAAAGCCCGCTCTTGCTAGGAACAGTTTTCCAGGCGATTGTGCCTTTATCAGCTGGTGATTCCGATACTGTTAGGAGACCAAGTTAGGAGATCCCACCTTTCGTTCTGAAAAAGACACTTTAAAAGGAAGATGCCTTAAAAATCATTGTAGCAGAACACTCAAAATCTAGCAGTCACCGTATTTAGATGCCCAAAGCCTACATGCAAAATCATGGGGGAGGGACAGCATATTTCAGAGGAAGAAGCCCTGTTCCTCAGACCCTCTAAATGAAATGGTTGATCAGCGGCAAAAGAACTGCAGCTGACGTGAACAGCATAATTAATCCAAGAGCAGCTAAGCAGTTTCTATAAGCCAACCAAACAAAACAAGGAGATACCTGCTCTGAGGAGACCGTTGCTGGAATAATATTAAATTCATTCCCAAGGTTCTCGGGCAAAGAGAGGTACATCTCCTTCTCATCTAGCTTCCAGTATGTCAGTCCTGCAAGAAGAAAGAAATCTCAAAGTTATTTCTGGTTTTAAAAGGATATGTGAAGCTGACATTTCCCCCCTGATTTTCAAAATTGCAAGTATAAATTCAGATTTTCACTTTGCAAGCATAAACTCAGAAGCTTATGAAATCCTCATGTCTGAAATATTAGGCTTCTGAGCTAATACAGCAACAGGGTTTGACATGAAGTAGTGCTAAAGCTAACATATTAATATTGCAGAGAACTCTGGGGGAACCAGAGTCAAGAATGTAATAAGAATACTGGTACTTAACAATACATCAATACAACCTCCATTTAAATCCACCTTCTCTATCTTCTGATTTAAGCAGGTAAGAGAGTTCAATGGATTGAAGGACAGGCCTTTTCAGATAGGTAAACTAATCACAAAAGCTAGAAAAGCAATGTATTGGTACAACAATAACTGTGCCTGGTTTTTTTGCCCCTCTTTTTTTACTATCTTAAGTAGATCAGATTGGAGGCAGAACAATGCCTTTGAGTCACTGGCATTTTGTAAGCAGTCTAAGAGATCCTAAGGCAGTGATATTTATTCAGTTGCTCAGGAGACACATGTGGCTCTTCCAGTCCCCCATGAGACACCTGCCCCATGTTCTAGGAAAGTGGGCAAGGCCATTGCCCAGTAGGGCGTGGGGATGGCATGTGGTTTTTGCCTTGCTGCTGCCAGAGGGACTGAAGAATGGGTAAACTGCAAGCCTCCCTGAGCCGTGGGAAGCAAAGGGCCCGCCTTCTCCAAAAAAACCCACCGTTCTCCGTAGTCTTATCCCAGCACTCAGGTGGCTCTTGGGAAGGCCACCACTACAGCAGATACCCTGGGGAAGAGCAAGGTGGCTACGGTGGGGGGGGGGATACTCCCCTTTTTCTACAGCCGGCTTGTTCTTCTCCAGGAGCCCTAGCAATCCTCAGTCTCTTGCCTGACTTGCTGTGCTTGATATTGAAGAGAGAATGAAAAGGCAGAGAGAGAGAGAAGCCCTTCCCCAGAGACACAAGGCCTGCTCAGCGGTAGCCGGGGGAGACAACCATTAAAAAGGTTATATGTATTTATTTTTCGTATTTATAGCCTGCCCATCCCACAAGCCGGCTCAGGGCTGGTGACATGATATCAAAAGCAATACAATAAATAGTTAAAATTTAAAACACAATAATCATCATTAAAATTGGTGGGTGCAGCTCAAGACAAAAATAAAAAATCAGCTGGCTGCTACAGGATTCCCTGGCCCGTTGGTAACAGGTGGATAATGGCCAATTGTCAGTGGGCGGGTGACAAACAACAATGGGGAGGCCATACATGGACACCCGCCGCCGCAGCCAAATAGTTATAAGCTTGTATTATTCAAGACGGGTAGCCGTATTACTCTGTCTGTAGCAGTAGAAAAGAGCAAACAAAATTTGTGACAGGGTAGGAGCTTCCGTGAGTCATCGCTCACTTCTTCAGAAGCTACTGGACTCTTGCTCTCTTCTACAGCTTGTATGATTGCATGTCTGTGTTTGGTGGGGTGGCACAAAGGGCACACGGTAGTCACAGGACTCTTTTGGTTGATGATCAATGCGAATGTGGCTCTCCATGAGCCACGGGGTGAGCACCACTGTCCTTAGGGCTTCAGAGGTGTGGCAACCTATATAAAAGAACCAATGAAATTCAAAGGAACGGTTAATGTTCCACCCACCAGCAGCTCGCCCTTGTGACAAATCTGATGACTCAGCTGTACAGTGGCCCCAGTGGCACAGTGGCACTGCTCTGCCTCTAACCTGATCTCTTTAAGATAGTAGAAAAGGGGGGCAACAAAAATGGGGTTGCTGGAGAAGGTGGGCAAGTTATTATTATTATTATTATTATTAATTAGATTTTTATCCCGGCCTCCCGCCGGAGCAGCACAGGGCGGCTTACAACATTAAAATCAATAAAATGATACATCTAAAACAGTCTATAGCAATAACAATAAAATCACAATTTTACACACAGTCCAATGTACTGTTCCTGCTGCAAGCCCTAGCTGGTCATGAGAAATAACACCACCCTGTTTCGAAATATGCCTTTACCAAAATTAGCACTACAACTAATAGAGCATACAGATTTAAGAGGCTGGGTGCTTGATACGATCACTTAATGGCTTTGAAATTGTATTCAATCTGCTTGTGGCGTTCTCTGTATTGACTGTAAATATAGCAGGTGTGTGTGGATGTGACGTGCCGTCAAGTTGCTTCCGATGTATGGCGATGCCATGAATTTAATGACCGCCAAAATGTCCTATGGTTAACAGCCTTCCTCAGGTCTTGCACGCTGACTCCGTTATTGAATCAACCCATCTCATGTTGGGTCTTCCTCTTCTCCTGCTGCCTTCAAGTTTTCCTGGCATTATTGCCTTTCCCAGCAAGTCCAGCCTACATAGTGCTGTAATTATAGCCTATATTACTGGTAAGTATAAGAGGAGAGACGACTCGAGTGGCACAGGAGCAAAACTCTTGCTGAGTAGGAGGTACAAAAGGAATGTATTTACTGTTCTCTTTTGGAGGGCAGGAGCAAGAAACCCAAGATCTGCTGGCTACTATACACTACAGTTGCCTACCAAGCAATGCTCTCTCTAAGCTGTGGAGTCGTGTGAGCAGAAATTCTACTTTGTGAGCTCCTGGCATTAAAGCTGTGAGTGAGCGATTGGGCTAATGCATAAATTAGTCTGCTCTGGAGCCATCCTTCCTGGGCGAAGGCAAAAATGTGTGAGCTGGAGGCTAAAAGGCTGTGATCTAGCTCACACTAACTCAGCTTAGAGGGAACACTGCCACCAAGCCTTGCCAAGATTTGTGGACCCCTGAAATCCCACTAAATCTGCAGGATTTAACCACCCAGTAAGCACGCATAGAACTGAGCTGCAGATCCCCCTGAAATCAGCAGGATTTGAAAGTACCCAGG